TATTCATATCATATTTTCTTTAACCATGCAATATTAATATTCTGTGTCTCTTTCTCAGTCCTGCTGTTTGTAAAGACAATATCCGGCTACTGTTCACTGTGCTGGAAAAATCTCCACTTCTTGTTGTCAGAGCCAACACAATTGTTGCTCTTGGTGACCTAACAGTCCGCTTTCCCAACATCCTGGAGCCCTGGACGCCCAATCTTTACGCCAGGTAGCTCCCAATCACAAGGTCAAACAACCACTGGTCTAGGGATATTTAGCAAATTCAGTTGTCCTTGTTGATTATATTTCCTGCTAAATCTATTACAATGCAATCACTTGAAAGTTTCAGTTTAGTTTTCATAGGGTTTGAAATGTTTTGGATTCTGGTGATCAGTATTGTAACTGGTTTGTCTTAAGGTTGAGTGATGAGAGTGCATCTGTTCGGCTGACTGCCATCACGGTTTTGACCCAGCTGGTGCTGAAGGATGTGATGAAGGTCAAAGGTCAGGTCAGTGAGGTCGCCGTGCTCCTGCTGGACCCTGAGCCACACATCGCCAGCCTCGCTCTCAACTTCTTCAACGAGCTCTCTGCAAAGGTAGCCGTTCCACTGCAGCTCTGCCGTCTCTTTTTCTCTCTCATCCTCCTCATGCCTCCTACAGGGATTAAAGTTCTCCGTCGCTAAGACGGATTTCTGTTAATTGCAGCGAGTCTACGACGGATTTCCGTCAATTGGAAAAAATGAGGGGAAAAGAAACATGTAGCGCATTGTTGTTGTTCTGCGGCACACCAAAAATCATCCCCGCCACGGCTGCAGCTTTTCAGTGACAACATAGTGATGCTGCTCGCATAATTCACAGTTGGGTTATTAGCAGAGAACACAGAGCAGAACTTGAATTTCGGCGTGGGATTGCGGCTATTAATAACAATTCTACTCATTCCCGCAGGTTCCGCGCTTATAACGCGATGACAGATGATGGAACATGTCATTTGCACGTGCTTTTGAGTCTTGAGAACTCAACTCGCGCGCTCATTTTCTGTGCGCCCACAGATCGCGATAAGGAGAGTGACAACTTTTAATAGTTATTAAGGGAGTTTGCAAATGTGATATTGATTTAATACAACAGTTCAATAAACAAGTACTGCCTGGTTTTATCTCCACATAAATGTATGAATTTAATTGCACTCATGCCACCTCTGAGCCTCATTAAATTTCTGAAAATGTACCTACAAGCCACTTTTGTGTTCTTCTGTGCCACCTCTGTAGTACAAATAAATGTTTATTTATTTATTTTTTTCTATTTGTCTTATTCTACTTATGTTGTTTTAAATATAAATTTTAAAAAGCTTATACATTTTTGAATTTGACATAGATGAAAATGATGCCATTACAAAGGTAAAAAGAAAATACCCCTGTAAGTCACTTTAAGGAGTCAAATGTCACCTCATATTAGGAAGGATCATTTTTTATCAGAATTTGATTATTGATCAGAAGGGGCTCCTACATTTTTTTAAATTAGGAGGACAAGAGCTCCTAAAAAGAAAAGTAAGCATAGAGCCATGTGTAACAGTATATTACATCTGTGCATGAGGTCTTAAAGAGACAGCAGCCTAAATAAACCTCTTGCTGCCTTTCATTATACAGTGAAGACTAACCAGTGTTATTTTACAGTTGAATAGATTATAGTTAGACCTAACTGAACAAATTAAAGTACTGTTAATTTAATTTGTATCTTGTTTTTGTTTGTGCTATTGATTGTCATTAATTTTTGTTCTTTTATTATTTACTTGTCTTTTTTAGTTAAATTCAATTCTGAGTGCACCTGATTCTTGGGTGGGGAGGGGAGGGGGCGTGGTCCATGAGAAATAGTCCTGCCACCACAGCTGGAAAAAATCCTAGGAAACACTGCATA